TCCAGATTCCTTTGAATTGTCGGGAAATGCCTTCAAAATTCCTGGAATTTTAATCATTTTGAAGGGATTTCCTGGAATTTGACGGTGAATATTCATTTGCACTTGAAAATTCATGGAAATTGCCGAGTTTAATTGAATTTTAGTTAAATTTTCGGAGAAACTTCAAAAGTTCATTAATTTTTTTCCCTTAAATCGAACTGAAGGTTACCTTCCGTCCAGTAAAATTTTCTACGATTTTTTTGTCAAGTTCTCAAAGACAAAAAATCGAAGAAAAAAAAAATGAAATTCGGAAAAAATTAATATTCTTAATTCCAAAAATTGGTTCCAAGCACCACAATAACCCTTCCCCCAGCCCTCCGAATCCCCCCCCCCCCTTGAAGAATTTCAATCCCTATTTCCTCCGTTTCCCACCGCCTGACCATTACAAAATTTATCTACTGAAATATCTGGATGCGTCGACGGAACCGGCGCGCCCATCCCTTTCCCCGCCAGACTAGATCACCAAACTTTTTCACGACGATCGAACCCCCATATCTGAGAACATAAAGTCTAGAATTTTTTTACTGCCCTCTCCCCACGGAATTATCATCGCACAAACAGCGACCTCCAGCAGTTAACTAATACATGCGGTAATAAATAAAGAGATAAAAAAATTGGAATAGAGAAAAAAATACGTGAGCGTTCCGCTCAAATGATCCGAGACAGGGGGAATTGGGTCATCGGATAATACGTCGCAAAATTGAATTATTCCGATATTTTTATTGGGTATTTCTCCTCGCGCGCGGTGGGACGAGGTCTCATGTCCTAATGAATGATTATAATCCCGGAAAAATGGGCGATTGGCTGGCGAAATGAGACAATGGGACCTTCAAACGAGAAATCAATCGTTTAATAAAAATAATAAAGTTGTATCGGACTGAAGCGATTGTTTTCCTCGCACGGGGATAGGCAGCTGAATAGGCAGTGCATGCGTATATAATACAGAATTCCAGTGAATGATTTATTGAAAGATGATAAATCATATTCCGTATTAATTGAATAATTCCTCCGCCGATGATAAATCATTTTGGCGGAATAAATAAATCTCTCGCGCGATCTTTCTTCTGTGAAATGCAGTCTCAATTGAATGAATATTAAGTGGTTTTGAATTGATCAGTTGTGTGGCATAATGGTGATAATAGATCGGAATTAATTGAATGAATGGGACAGAAAGATGAATAATATTATTCTTGAGAACATGAGAATTTTTTTACGGTTATTTATTGCTAAAATGAGGGGTTTTAATATTTGTAAGTCGTGAGCAAAACCTTTCGGTCATGAAACACATTTGCTCATACGATTGTTTGACCCTCAGACCCATAAAAAAATCTTCATATTAAATTCATTAATTTTTTTAAATTTTTTAAAATTTGATTTTTTCAATTTTTTTTCAATTTGAGCTCCTCAATTTTTTTTATGTTCATGTCATCAATATGGGCCTTTAAATGGCGCTTGGATTACCTTAAGAGTGAATTAAACCTCCACTACTGCTCAAATTACCGCAGCCCACGCGAAAAATAATTTTTTTCACTTAAACTATCGAAAAATTTGATTTAGGCGAATCTAGTAGTTTTTAAATATTTTTAGGTCATGAATAAACTAAAAAACATTTGCTCATATCATCGTTTGACCCTTAGGTCCTTAAAGTCTCTTAATATCAACTTTATTATTTAAAAAAATTTTGTTTTCTATTTTTTTTCAATTTTCACAATTTTTTTTTCTTCTCAATTTGATTTCTTAAAATTTTTTTATATACATTGTGCCTCTAAATGGCTTGCCTTCTGAGTGAATTAAACCCCCCACCAATGAAGAAATCACCCAGCGGGCGACCAATTCCCCCCCTCAAACCACATTAGCAATGAACACACGTTGAATTATGAAACCGAGTCAAATACGCGAAGAGCTAAGTGAAGAAGTTGAGTAAATCGGGGATAAAACACTATCGGGGACCACCTGTACGGCCGTTCGGTGCCCACTGAAGCGTATCGTGAGAGAGCAATTAGCCGGAATTGAGCCCGACGATTGGATAGGTACGTCCAGTGGCCGCGGCGTTTGCTCAACCGTGACCAAGTCCCTCCCCGATAGTGTATACACGCACGCAAACGGGGCTGAACTCCTCCGACCGATTTTTTTTCAATCCTCGAGTCCTCAGTACAAATCACATGCTAATTACATTCAAAAGACTCGCATAAATACATTACTCGGGCTAATTGCGCTGCCACGATTGCAGGAATGATTCCTGCCATTTTTTTTCGGACAGGATATGCGAGTGAAGAATTTTCGGTGAAAAACGGGGCCGCAAGGTGAGACTTGTTTCTTATGATGATTTTTAACTTTTGTCGGTGTTTAGTTCTTCATTTATTTAGTGAGAGAGTGATGGAGCGGATTTAATGATGAAGTTTTGCTGCGGCGCCACCTCGCGGTGGCGTCTGTGTACTAGAGCTGGGGATTATCTCATGAGAATCAGATAGAAATGGTATTTTAAATCATTTCTGAGGATGCAATACCATTTGAAAGGGCGATTAAAATGGTTTTTCATTTCTCCAATATCCCATGATCAACTAAATTTGTCATTATGAAGATGAATATGAATGTCTGAAATGATTTTTAATTTTTTTCCATGTTTATTTGTTCATTTATTTAGTGAGAGAGTGATGGAGCGAATTTAATGATGACGTTTGGCTGCGGCGCCACCTCGCGGTGGCGTCTGTGTACTAGAGTTGGCGACTATTTCATGAGAATCAGATAGAAATAGTAGTTCAAATGATTTTTCATAATGCAAAATCATTCAACAATCCAATTAAAGTGACATTAAATTATTCATTTCTTTAATATCCAATGATCTTCAACCGAATTTGTCATTACGAAGATAAATACAACAGTTTCTTGAGGAAATATCTTCAATGATGGTTTCAAAAAATAGGACACGTTAAGATTCATTTTCTGTTCTTCAATTGCCGACTATATTCACAAAAAAATTTGAAGTAGATATTCTTACTCAAAATGTGGGAGAAGTGGGTCTCGTTGAAGGTGCCAACTGGAGACTCCTCTCGATTAATATCGAGAAATTAATTGCTCCTTCACCGCACTGTGATCAGCAGACATTGACAGGTTCCCTCGGTTAATACGAAATTTTCGTGAGGTAAGAAAATGGAATACCAACGGGCGACATTCAATTACTTTGTCAGCCTGCCGGGAACCCGCGAAAGTTGATTCTCCCGGAGTTGATCACAACCAAAATTCAACGAAAAAAAAAATTAATCATTTCATCATTAGAATTTTTGACATGAATAATTTATTGACATAAAAATTAATCATTAATCATTACATTTCTCGATAAATTAAATCACTAAATATTTTTCCCGTAATATAAAAAAAAAAAAAAAAATTCTTCAGAACCTCTTGGAGTGTATAATCCCAACAAATTGCGGGTAAAACACACGGAGCATTTGAAAATTGATAATTGATTGCATCTCACTCGTGAAGAACGCGGAGAGTTACCTCGGAGGTATAAATTATAATTGAATTAAGAGGCCTGAGCTCTTAATTAACTCAGCCGAAACAGATTCACTGGGGCGCGACCCCCGGGTTTTATTGCGCTTTGCCCTAGTATTCCCCAGCTCCATCATCATTATATCTTTATCGTTTTCCCCATCTCAGTGCTTGTTTCGTTCAATTTTTTATCCCTTTTTTTTAAGACAGCCTCTGTCGCGTTTTATACCATTGGGATAATTTACAACTCAATGGAGCCATTGAATCTGTTTTATATGGCTCATCTCCTGGTGCCTTTGTTCTCGCCCTTTGACGTACGCCGAGAGTGTTGGACAATTGTTTTTGTGTAACAGATTAAGTCCACATTCCGTTGATTATTGTCGATCAATCACGAAAGAGGAAAAATTTCACAAAATGGGATTATTTATTAAAAAAAAATTTTTTTTCAGTATTTCCTCATGATGACTGATTACGAATTTTGACGCCAATAATTAATTATTTAGGTTGATAAATATTATTAAATCTTACATAGCATTTTTTTAAATGATAAATTGAATAACAAAATAATTGGATTGCATCTTTTATTTTTTTAATTGCATGTTTTATTTTTATTTGACCCTCGGAAGGGTCAAATCAAATCTCCACTATTTGGAATTCGATACTCCCGAGATTCTAAATACCCCTAAAATGTTTGTATTGACATTACTCCCCCGCTTAAAACAAAAACACATGAATTGGCTACTCTCGTGGGAATTGAAACGTCTTGGGTTATTTGTTTTGACTCTGGTGGTGTGGCAGTCCGCTCCGCCCAGCTTGTTTTCTCGTGTTCTTTCCCCGCTCTTCCTCGTGTTCTCTTTCCGCCGTTCGTTCACAATTTTTACTTGTTTTTGTCGTTTGCCACCCAGCTATGGCTATAAGAAGACCACCGAAAATTCAAACCGTTGGTTTTTACTCCCAATACCCGGCGCATTGCATTCGGGGGGGAATCAAGTGAGTTACCGAGTCAGCGGTGCATGGAATCGCAGAGTATACATGGACTCCGGGGATCAGGATACTCCTTTCAGGATTCTCCATTCGTATCTGTCAGGCTGGCTACTGTATTTAAATTTGTTTTGGTTGATTCCGGGAGGAGATTTCAGTGAGAGAGAACTTTTTTTGGGGGAAGTTTGGTTTATTTTTTAAATTCAAGTGGAGATGTGAATGAGAAGATTTTTCCTTGAGGTTTTTACTGATTTTAGATTTTTGTTTATTCGTTCATTTATTGAGAGCGAGTGATGGAGTGCCTTTTGGGGTTGGGCTCGGCTACTGCGCCACCTTGCGGCGGCGTCTCTGAACCAGAGCTGGCGACGATTTCATGATAATCAAATAGAAATAGTAGTTCAAATGATTTTTTAGGTCACAATACTATTTTACAATCCAATCAAAGTGGGTATTTATTTCTTTAATATCCTATGATCTTCAACTAAATTAATCATTACGAAAATTAATGTAAACGTCTATTCAAATGGGATTTTCTTTGTCATATTGGGTGACTTCGAAGAATTTGCAATTGCCAAATTTTTTTCCGAGTCCTTCAGCCATTTCGCTAAATATTTTCTATAATAATAATAATTGTTTTTATTCATTGAAAAAACCTAAAAATCCCTAACGGGATGGAATAATATCCTCAAATTATCCTAGAGATAGTTTCCTCCCCCATATAATTACCTTGAATTTGTGCAAAATCCTGTGGCCTTCATAAACAGTATTGAGTGAACCACTAGTGCATAATAGAAGCCAGGAAAGACGACAGTCAGAGCGAGGTTACTCGACCACGTTCCATATAATTTCCACCATCTGTATTCGTTATCCTTCTGAGCAACACGATATCCCTTATTCCTCGTTGAATCCAGTATGAAAACCACAGTACGTGATGAGGAATGCTCATTCTGGGTCAGATATACGGGAGGTAACCTAGATCAATTCGATGAGCATTTCGTCATTGAAACGTCAGATTTGATTAACGATCTCGTGCCATAAAAACATATCTGTTGTGATACGGCGATACGAAAATGAGGGATTAATGTGGGGGGGGGGGGCAGCGTTTGGCAAAGAGAGAAGAAAAGATGGCGATGAATGCCTGAATCCACCGGAAGTATTCAGCACCCAGTGTACGATGGATATGTATTTGGAGTCACGATCGAGTTGTAAAAAAATTTTAAGAATTGCCTAATGCTTCTATTATCTATTTCAGAAGTCAAGACGAGTAGGAATAGCACTTTATCAATCACAGCGGTACGCGTGGAATTTGATCAAAGTCGAAACTGTGTCGAAAGAGATAGTCATCTCTAGATAAACCGTCAGCTGATCCAGCATGTGTTGGAAATAATGTCAGATTGACGAGATCGATCATGTTTAATTTATAAGTCATAATTATTAGTAAACAAATGAATTATGTCACTCACATTTAATTATAGATGATTTTTCTCTCGTTTGACATTTCTATAATATCGGCTAATCTTCGGCCATTAGCCTGTTTTCGTGGAAGTTATGGTAGGTGAGGTACATAGACGCCACCGCGAGGTGGCGCAGTAGCTAAATTTAACCTCCGGATACTCAATCATTTTATATGATCATAATAACATCATAAATCACTCCAATTAAATCATAATCAACTTTTGAAACTTCGCTAGTTTATAAGTCTCCACGAGCCAATTATTTTTTTCCCTTCCGAAGGAAATGATCTATCCTTATCCTTATCATCATCGATAAATACCTCTCACATTTCATAATTGAAAGAATGAGATAAATGTTTTTTTAAATAAAAAATATCTCGTGGAATGCGAAAGATCAAGCGTTCTAAAAATAAAACCAGTCGACATTGTCCGCGATGTTTTGTATATCAATACAATGAGAGTGACAAGTCGATGGGGTCTAGTGGGTCCTTGCTCGTTACTCAGTGAGTGATAACTCGTTGGGTCAATATAACGTCAAACTGTACGAATACATTGCCCATCACTCGTGGAATGTTAAAGTGAACCGGCGGGGAGTGGTCTCGCAAAAAAGTGTAGTAAGCGTTAAAAAATCTGGCGCCAAAAATATTTGCCTGCCTCGTATAAATTCACGCGGCACCTTCAATGGTCGAAAAAGAAGAGAGGTATGAATAAATATTTGTCGGGTCAATTGTATCGGTAATAAAACGCGAAAATTAGTGGATCCACAGTTCCAGGAATTTACACGCCATTCTTATTTTTTTTAGGAGAATTGTAAATTCGAGTGTGAATTAATGCAGTGGAATGTTGAAATGTTTTAATTTGCAATCGTCAAAATTTCTTCGGTTTGCTAGTGTTCCGCATGTAGGTTTCTATTAGATTTGAAGAAAAATAATCATTTCTGTATTCAATATGTGGTTCTTAGTATTCAGCAGGAAATTCACGCTAAAAAATACCGGAATCAGAATTAATTATTATGGGAACAACATTTTTTGTTATAATGGCTTTGAATTGAGAGAGAATGATGAAGTGTATTTAGCGGTTATGGTTGAGTACTGCGCCACCTTGCGGTGGCGTCTCTGTACGAGAGCTGGAGACTCTTTCATGACAATCAGATAGAAATAGTAGTTCAAATGATTTCTCAGAATGCAATGTATTTGACAATCCAATTGATGTTGTTATTTATTTCTCCAATATCCTGTGATCTTTAATTAAAATGGCATCATGAAGATGAACATGAAAGTCCATTCAAATACGATTTTATTCGTCAGATCTGGCGACTTAAACATTACAAATTCTTCTGCATATTAACACCAACAAATTTGCGATCATGAAAATTTTTTTCAAGGCCATCAAACACTTGAAAAAATATCTTTAACGATTTTTTTTTTAACCACAGAAAACTTGGAGATATATATTCCCTATAATAATTATGAATTCTTTCAAATGTTTATTTATTCATTCATTTCTTGATAAAAAATCAAGGAGCGTATTTGCTGGTTATGTTTGACTACTGCGCCACCTTGCGGTGGCGTCTCTGTACCAGAGCTGAGAATTATTTCACGAGAATTACATAAAAATAGTAATTCAAATGGTGTCTCAGAATGCAATACCATTTAACAATCCAATCCAAGTGCTTATTTATTTCTCCAGCATCATATGATCTTCAACTGAAATTGCCACTATGAAGATGAACATAAAAGTCTATTCAAATACGATTTTATTTGTCACGTTTAGCGACTTCGACCTGACGAATTGTCCTGAATATTAATCATCAGAAATTTTTTCAAATGCACAAACAACTTGGAAAAATTTGTCAGTGATCCGCCGACACGTTTTTATTAGAATCATCGATTTTTTCTTCAATTTTCAATTGATGATTTTCGCGGTGTTTGATACCGTCACGTTGGCGCCATTGCGCTCAATTCCGATAATCTAATCTATCGATAATAAACCAACGCGGCCCCGTACCAACTCAGGACGGATATCGTTGTAAAAAAAACATCCACAACTAACATAGACATCTGAGAAATAGCTGAGGGATTAGTGGGAGAATGGAATTCACCGTCAATGGATACATTGATTAGCCAGAGTGGAAAAATAAATGTAAGAGTGAAAAGAATCGAGGAATGCGATCTAACGCAAGTCAATGTGCAAGAGGTTCTTGATTGATAAAAGGCGCACTCGTGTAATTCCATCAATTTACACAGTCACTGATCTTCATTTGAATAAGTGGTAACGAGGGGAAAAAAAGAAGAGATTAAGGGAAATGAATTGGTTGTGGTTATTTGGGTCAATTGCCTCGGGTATGAATTTATTAACATTTGAATGGATTTTTTAAATGTATTCTTGGGAAAATTTTTAGGTCGAGTGAGTTTTCTCGAGGGGCACTCGTAGGAATCAGCGGGTCAATGGGAGGGCAGAGGAAGACATTTCTGTGTTAAGAATATTCAATATATTTTGGGGGTTCATTTAATTTTCAGTTCATTTAATTTTAATTTAAAATTTCAATTTTTTTTATTTCAATTTTAATTGTTATTTTTTTGCTATTTTCTACAAATGTATTTAATTGAAGTGACATGAAAAATGGCAATTGCAGTTTACACAGTTCTTTCAACATTCTTAAGAATATTTGATATATTTGGGGGTCGTTACCCAATTTTCAGGGAAAGGTAAAACATTGTTATTTTAATTTTCATTTTGTCTGGTAACCTATTGGCAATAATTTTATATTATTGTCATGATGCGCCTTAAAAAAGCCCAAGGTTTAGTAATGATTCTCGCCACACAATTTTTTGATGATGATTTTATATTAATTTCACATTTTCTCTATGCCGTAAGTAATTGGATAGATACTTTTTTAAAATAAAAAACGTTGATATTTTTTTACCGCGTAACGGTTTAAGTGAACACAAGTCTGAATGAAATTTAATTTTCATTTTTAAATTTCAATTTTAATTGTTTTTTCTTCTATTTTCTGCAAATGTATTTAATCGAAGTGACATGAAAAATGACAATTGCAGTTTACATAGTTCTTTCAACATTCTTAAAAATATTTAATATATTTGGGGGTTGTTAGCTAATTTTCAGGGAAAGGTAAAAAGTTTTAATTCTAATTTTCATTTTGTGAGGTAACCCATTGGCAAAAATTTTATATTAATTTCACATTTTCTCTATATCGTAAGTAATTGGATAGATACTTTTTTTTCAACGAAAAAAGTTGATATTCTGTTACCGTGCAACGGTCAAAGTGCACACAAGTCTGAATAAAATTTAATTTTCATTTTAAAATTTCAATTTTTTTAATTTCATTTTTAATTGTTAATTTTTTTTTCTATTTTCTGCAAATGTATTTAATCGAAGTGACATGAAAAATGACAATTGCAGTTTGTACAGTTCTTTCAACATTCTTATCAGTGAGGTATGTTGAGTGAGGGATACAAGTCAACATCGATATAACTCCCCGGAAATTAATGCTCACATTAGGAAGGGACTTCACGGGGTGCTTGAGGCAGGATTTTTGCCGAGTCATTTCCCAGGATTTTCGTGGAATGAAAATATCGCATGCGATAACAACTGCCGAGCAGTCGTTAGTCCCCGAAAGTAGTTGATCTATGGAATTCTGGGATAATTCGCTGTGGGGTATTTATAGGTGGGTGTAGAGCACAACACCAAACGAGGGAATTGACTCGGCATAAACAAGATACTGAACAGATATCAGAATCATTGAATATTTATTTGTGGAAAAAACAGAGGCAGACGTATATAGAGGGTTTCGATGGGAGACAGGTAGGTAAGCAGTGCCAATATCTGACCCAGTTAGTGGCAATAAACCTGGTGTATTGTTTGTGTTTGTACTTTCCATGTCGAACCCTGTGACAGCTTTTCACGGAATCGTGTTGTTGAGTGAAAAATATTACGGGTTACTGATATATTTTTCCTCAGTAAAATTTACTCTGCATTCCATGAAAAATTATCCCAAAAAAAATTTCCCGGAAAAAATTCCCCCGGAGAAATTTCCCCGGAAAAAAAAATCCCTCGTCTAAATATTCTCCGGAAATTATTTTCCCGGAATATTTTCCCCTGAAAATCACCGAAAAGAAAATCTCCGGCAAAAATAAAAAATAAACATTTTATAATTTTTAACTTTATTGTTAATGTTGGAAAGTATTCTCGTTAAGTTAGAACAATTTCCCCGTTTTGGTAGGGTAAGATGATGTTTTGTTGAATGCTGTCAATATTTTTTTTATGAATCTGCGACTTTGTAGGGCGAGACTGTTAATGAAGATTCATTGATTACTGGGGCAAGAGATTGGAATTATTTGGGGGAATTGGCTCGAAAATGTTGACAATTAATTTATTGCAGTAACGTTATTTATTTATTATTGATCTATTGAAAAAGTTGAGTTCTCATCTGCCGTCTTCGAGGATAGAGGGATATAATAAATAAAATAGACGTTGGTAATGTGTGTTTGTGCAATTGTTTTTTGCATTCGTAAGGGGAAATAATTCCGGGGAAATTTTTTCAGGGAGAAAAAAATCCGGAAAATCTCTCTTCCAGTCGTAAAATTTTCCACGATTTCCTGGTATTTTTACCCAACCTCCCTTCATGCAGGACAATTGAAGTTCTTTTCCAATCCCGAAAACAACTTCTTAAAAAACCGGAAATTTCAACTGCGATTTCAATCTCCAAAAGTGCAGAGTGAGACTTCCCGAATGTTTCTCTTTCATCATGTCACTTCAGTCAAGCATTTCACCCCCGACTGCACCGGGAGCCCAACAAATCCCAAATCCATTATTAAACGCGTTTCCAATGAGCCCATTTCCGGCTAATAAGTCACCACTGCTGTCCGAGGATCGACAGTTCCCCCTAGAGATCTGTATTTTTCGATTCTGACATGATGGTTTGTCAAGATGCCGGATCGAATGACCGTTGACATGCTACGGTTCACGACAAATTTGCAGGGGCCTTAGGGCCGTTTTTCCAGCGTCGCATGTCCCACCGGGAGATTGATTAGTCAGTCCGATCCCTCGACAAAAAAGGACCTGACGACACCTGG